AATTTGGAGTGTTTGTCACTAGTGTCATCTTTGATATTCCACCCAAACACAAGGAAGAGGTCACTGGCTATTTCCGAACATAAATACGGCTTTTTAAAGGATTTTCTCTGCTTCCCTGTAATGTTCAGTCTTCCGCACACTCTAAACAGACTGTTTAAAGGGGATACATGACTTTCAGGGGTGTGCTCCATTTTGAAGTCTTCGTTTTATAAGGCAATTACGTTAGTAAATTCGCTGGCCCAACACAATAATCCGATGTAACTGAACAACCACAACTGCGATAGTATTGAAATTTACACACTTAAAACCAGATTTGTTACTGAACACGCACATACTAATCCCCAAAAAATTCTATGCACCGTTTTGTCGCAATAAATGATTATTTATCCTCAGTTTGAAATGAGAAAAGCGTGTTACACATGCAGCAAACAGACACGCGTGGAACACCTGGTATAAAACTTAAAAGACTGGGACTTTCTTTAAGAGGAGGAGAAAAGGTGTTTCTAAAGTCTATGAATTAAAACTACTTGGTGGGTCTAACGGCACCACTGCAATTGAGGTAGTAAATGAGACAATTTTATCGAGAACACATCCCAGTTTATAACAGTGCAATGAGGTCAAATGACCCCAATAAAAAAGGTCAACAGTACCACCAGGCGGGGTGATTAATTACCTGCGGACAGCAGGAGCTGCGGTGCAACTAAAAGGCACGATTTCGTGCGCCGTGGCGAAATTGATCCTGTTATCACTGTTACACTGGGAAGATCAAAAACTTTTAAAGACGATACATAATAAATATTGAGACTGAAAACTGGTTCAGTGCAAGCTACCTCTCCTTAAGTTTTCTTGTAACATTATATAGTTTCCTCAAAATAATGTATCTTTTATTTAATCTTTATTGAAGTATAACCTCATTTTCTGACTTTGAGGAATACAGTTGTGTCAATTTTTTTTAGAGGAGTTTGGGTCTTACTTGTTTTTATCCCCCCCCCCCCCCTTTTAATTAAGAGGTATGTGTTTTGTAGGGGGGTTAGGGCAGAAGTATGTACTGGTTTTTCTCTTTCATAGTTTTGTTGATTAGGGGTTTTTTTGCATTCTGTCTAGAAATTACAAGTTTGATCATCCTTCTGTCTGGGCTATGGCAAGGTGATAGAGACTAAAACTGACTCTGTTGGTATGAAAGAAGGCCACTGATTGGTCGCATGCAATCAACTAAGTGAGTAATGGTTCACGGTGCAGGTGCGATGGATGAGTTCTGGAAATAGATCAAGTTTGTTCTGGAAGAAAAATGAGCGAAGCCAAGTCTGCGGGGGGCTGTTCACCCTGGAGCGACTTCGTTGAATCCGAGCTTGCTGATTTCAGTGTTTGTTGAATCCCGAGTTATTTTTATTGATTTTAAGGAAAAACAAAAACGGGGGATCCATCTCCTTTCGCTGAATCCGAGTTCCATTGTACTGACTCTTCTCACTGGCACACATATACCAAATTTTATTCCAAGTTAACCATCATAGTATTACCACTCCAATGATACTATCCTCCATCAGACACCCAAACAAGAAAAGCTTCCAGGATCATTCAACTCCTGTTTACTGTTTTGGCTGTTAGCCTGTTTGGGCATAAGGACTTGACGATTTACAAAACAGAGAAAGCGTTGACTGGCTCATCAGTAGCTGTCATCTCACCTTCTAGGTTGAATTATACTGTTTTGTACATCATTCTATTATGTTACATTTATTACATACATGATCAAGATGATGTGATTTCTAAACTCTATTCCCCTCTATCTTTCTCAATCAGGTGAAGTGAAAAAGGTTGACGGAACAGAGTATGACTTGAGATCTCCTGTCAGGATGGGCGATAGGCTGCATAACGTACCCGGTGGAAAAGGCTTTGACATAAACTTTTGTTTGGACAACAACGGAGAGATGAAGCTGGCAGCAAGGTTAGAATGTTGAATGTTGTGCTTTACAAAATAGACTCCCCTGCGTAAATGTTCAATGTGAAAGTGAAATGGCAACGTCTCTTCAAATGCTTTTGCTGTCCTCGGATGGACGAGAAAGTAAGCAATTGCATTTTTGTTCTTGTTGACCATCCCTTTGAAATGTCCAGTTTTTTTGTTGCCTCTGAAAGAAAGTCTGAATAGTCATTTTAAAAGTATCGGTGTCTGCTGATTGAGAATAATCTCTTTTTTATTGTCATAACATTGGCGTGTTGTGACCTTTGAATAGGTCATAGAACCTTAAATTAATTTTGGCGACACGGTGCACAGAAACAGGATACTTTAGTTGAGAACTCAGATAGCTAGTGCTGCGCTGACCTTTGATGGTGAGCGGGGTCATCGCTTGGGCATTCTTCGGTCAGCGTGACCGCGCGGGAGGTTGAGAAAATCGTATTTTTCTTCCTGAATTGAGCACTAATTAACGCAATAATATTGACTGAAAGACATCACTGCATGAGGGAATCAGAAGTTTCAAGTCTTTTTCATGATATTTCAAAAACAAAGTGAATCAGTATTGGTTGGTTTAGTTGTAACAGAAAGTGCAAGATGGTCATGTCTGATTCCCGTTAGCGTTTTCAGTTATGACGTAACGAGCGCCGATAATTAGAAAACTGAGCTTCAGGATTAGTTCATCTTTAAGGGACATAAACATAACACATAAGGGTATCTACTCACCAAATTTCTCTGCTACCGTAGTTTCCGTAACCTCAAAATGGTTGATCTATGCATCACTTTGTTGTAAATATCCACACATTTCCCTCACTTAACTTCACACGAATTATTGAGTAGGCTCCATAGATTTTATTGTAATATATACACACATGTCCTGAATCATTGTGTCTGCATGTTGTACATCTACATGTTGGTCACTGACTGGGACAACAGACTGAGGGTGGGTGTGGCAAGTCTGACTTGTACTGTGTGTGGGTCGTTTTTTTTGTGTTGAGTGTGCTGAGAGCACGGGTACATGTACTCTGTGTGGTTGTGTCTGTCTCAGAAATTCTGAGAAATGTTGGTGCTAGGACTAGCTTGGTTTGTGTATGTTTCTTGACTGCTGGAGTGAGACTGGGGGTCACAGGGCTTTACTGTGGCACAGCCAAGAGAGAGCATCACAGTTGTCAATGTAAGCACACCAAATGTTTGTAGGGACACTGCACTATTTCGAAGTATAGCGTCATAGATCGTTTTATAACATTTAAAACACATAAATTTGGAGAGTTTGTCACTAGTGTCATCTTTGATATTCCACCCAAACACAAGGAAGAGGTCACTGGCTATTTCCGAACATAAATACGGCTTTTTAAAGGATTTTCTCTGCTTCCCTGTAATGTTCAGTCTTCCGCACACTCTAAACAGACTGTTTAAGGGGATACATGACTTTCAGGGGTGTGCTCCATTTTAAAGTCTTCGTTTTATAAGGCAATTACGTTAGTAAATTCACGGGCCCAACACAATAATTCGATGTAACTAAACAACCACAACTGCGGTAGTATTGAAATTTACACACTTAAAACCAGATTTGTTACTGAACACGCACATATTAATCCCAAAAAAATTCTATGCACCGTTTTGTCGCAATAAATGATTATTTATCCTCAGTTTGAAATGAGAAAAGCGTGTCGCACATGCAGCAAACAGACACGTGTGGAACACTTGGTATAAAACGTAGAAGACTGGGACTTTCTTTAAGAGGAGGAGAAATGGTGTTTCTAAAGTCTATAAATTAAAACTACTTGGTGGGTCTAACGGCACCACTGCAATTGAGGTAGTAAATGAGACAATTTTATCGAGAACGCATCCCAGTTTATAACGGTGCGATGAGGTCAAATGACCCCAATAAAAAAGGTCAACAGGTACCAGGCGGGGTGATTAATTACCTGCGGACAGCAGGAGCTGCGGTGCAACTAAAAGGCGCGATTTCGTGCGCCGTGGCGAAATTGATCCTGTTATCACTGTTACACTGGGAAGATCAAAAACTTTTAAAGACGATACATAATAAATATTGAGACTGAAAACTGGTTCAGTGCAAGCTACCTCTCCTTAAGTTTTCTTGTAACATTATATAGTTTCCTCAAAATAATGTATCTTTTATTTAATCTTTATTGAAGTATAACCTCATTTTCTGACTTTGAGGAATACAGTTGTGTCAATTTTTTTTAGAGGAGTTTGGGTCTTACTTGTTTTTATCCCCCCCCCCCCCCTTTTAATTAAGAGGTATGTGTTTTGTAGGGGGGTTAGGGCAGAAGTATGTACTGGTTTTTCTCTTTCATAGTTTTGTTGATTAGGGGTTTTTTTGCATTCTGTCTAGAAATTACAAGTTTGATCATCCTTCTGTCTGGGCTATGGCAAGGTGATAGAGACTAAAACTGACTCTTTCAGTCATTTTTTAAAGTTTAGTGAATGTCATGTTGAAATCGCCATGTAGCCTGCATGTTTTGCCTGCGTCTTATACACTGCCATGTTTGGCGTCTGTAGACTAGCTGTTAGGCTACCAGACTCATAATCCTGAGGTTGCTGGTTTGGGGGTTCAAGGCTCAAGCCTGACCTTGTGTCCTTTTCCTCACTTCACACAGGTGAGAATGGTCATAGACAGCGAAAGATCTTATCAGTATGTCAGTGTCTTAGCATATGCAAATTGGCTGCTTCCACTGTATTACGCTTACCAGAAAATTGAGATTGTTTCAGAATGCTATCAGGTCTGCTGGGGTAATAATATAGATTGTAAAGAACATAGAGCTTGCTGTTGAAGGGAAATTTGTGCTATGTACATGCTATTTATCATTATGATTATAATTACAGTTGACTTCGGATGAGTTGTCATCGGGGAAAGTAAAAAAAAAAAATCAACTCATCTGAAGTTCAACATAATCGTTGGGACCCGTAAAGAAAAAGAGGTGCCGGGACCTGAAAAAAAGATCTCTACTTAAACGAAGATCAACTTAAGTGAGTTCAACACAAGCAGAGTTGATAATATTTTTGTTATTATTGTTGTTATCATTATTATTGTATTACTATTATCAGTATTACAATTATAATTGTTGTTTTTATTATTATTATTATTATCATTATTATTGTTATCATTTTTATTATTATTATTATTATTTTTTTATTATTATTGTAATATTATTATTACTGTCTTTGTTACTGTATCCCCAGAGTGGAGCATCCTCCATCAGGGCGCTACCTAGAGTGTCGCACCACAGAGCCTGGCCTACAGCTGTACAGTGCCTTCTATATCTACCCCATGACTGGCAAAGAGGGAGCAGCTTATGGAAAGTATGGAGGTTTATGTTTGGAGGCCCAGCATTACCCAGACAGCATTCACAAGGTAAACACATGGCTGGCTGTTTTTTGAGATATAGTGCAGCAAGCACATAGCGAACACCCACACGATGAAATACGCTTACTTAGCGAACATATCTTTAGATCCCAAGCTTTTTTCTTATGCGTCTATGTTCTTTAAATGTATAACATGTGCGAAGTGAAATTTGCACATAACGAAAATATTTCAGCATCTTGCTGATTTCACCATATGCATGCAAGACTGTACTTTGAAAATACTTAAATGGTTGAAAATAAAATTGGGATTGTTGGAGAACTCTATTGGTTGGTCATCCTCCTTCTTGATCAACCTTCTGTTGTTGTTTGCTGTTTCTTGGTGTCTGTCTTGCTCTTTCCCCATCACTTAATGAACGTTCATACGATGTTCTTGTGCTTATCTTTGACATGTACTTGAAGTATGGTTTTCGGGTAAAAATCTAGTTTGAGTAATTTCAGGATTGCAGATAAAATCTTGGGCTGATTTTGTAAACCCATTGGTACTTTTATGAGGGTGTAAAACACATACATTTAAGAAAAAGAAAATTTGGTACCTTAAAAAAATACTGGATGGTTTGTGGGTGCTCTGGTGTGGTTTGCTTCTTCTTTCCTATCAAACATCTATCGTCCTTATCTCCCCTTCTTCTTTTTTATGTTTGATACTCTCTTGTAACACCTCTAATCTTCTGGCGCTCATATGACCTTATGCAATTGCGAGCGCTGGAAAACCTCTACTTTCAAAAAAAAAATACTGAAAGCTAATTCCTTTATTTACTTGTTTGTGCTTTGTCTGTATATTGAGCCTCACAAGAGCTCACTGTTCATCAATTAGCACCACTGTCTGCATTTTTGTTGCCGCAGAATTTTAACATCTTGATTTTCAATTTCCGTTTAGTATTGTGACTTCCTCTCAATGTCATTTTTTGGTCTCTTCACAGCCTGACTTCCCAACAACTGTTCTGCGACCCGGGGAGACCTACACACAGACAACTATCTACAAATTTGGAATTATTTAATCATGAGTAAAAGATTGCATCTCTTTTGCTATATATAGAGAACAAATTTGAAATGATATGATTGCTAGTTCGAAGAATGACAAGCATTTCTGATATTACATAGGACACTTTCAAAATTGTGTCATCACAAATTTTTTACATGCTACTCATGTGTTGTAGAGAACAGCTAGACCAGTGTTTGTCAACCTTTTTATAGCCAGGGCCCACTTTTGCCACCTTTAACTCACTCACTGCCAGACCCGAGGAGTGTCAGATTTTTTCTATGTACTGCCAACTACCATTACCAAAACCTGTTGGGTTCGACTTTCCTTTTGGGTTTTTTTTTCAACAATAGACCGAGGTATTTCAGGTCTAGCCTTTGAGGGCATGTCACTACTGTCCTTTTCGAGTTGATTGAACATTATTCGAGTTACGTCCCTTGATAACTGAACAAATTTTCAATATGCCGGATGACCCAAAATACATCAGTTTCAGTACTATGTCGAAGGAACAACATTGGAACCTTTTTAAACTCATGGACCCATACGTCAATGATAGGCCGTGTCTAGATGTTTCTAGTAGTGAAAAGGATGACAGCAATGGTGAGGCTGTAGGAATAAGTAAAGGTGATCTAAGTGGTCTTGATCTTATAGTTGTTGAAAGTACTGGTGATAAATCTTACATCGACCCTATGGCTCCAGGGCCAAGTTCTAACACTCCATATTTCACTGCCACACCTGGTCTCCTATATGATGATACAACAGATCAAATAATCATAACTCCAGGCATGATAAAACATTGAACTGCAAGTCGGTGAAAAAAAATGTTTCTGCACCTCTACATCATTTCAATCAGTCAAGCACCTATTCTCCACCAGAAGGTGCGTGCAAAGAGGAACCTGAAAACCTGGTGGCCGCAGAAGTTCATCATCATCAAAATGGGAAAAAAGCTCTGTAAGGAGTACATGCAGGAGAAACAACTGGACCCTGCCACAGCTCTCCAGCCTGAACCCTCCCCTGATGCTCATCTACCGATCGCCTCCTTGGTCATCACTTTCCTAGGCTTTTGCCTTCCACCAAAGAAAATAAACATGAATTTTTATCATTTTAATCGAATCATTGCCCAAAACCAAGCCATGCTGTGAACTGTTGTGAACGCAACCAATTTGTGTTTCGTGCACTCATATATGACTTTATGCAATTGGAAGCACCATAAGACTCTTAATAAAACTAGAACAAGAAAGGACAGCAAATTTGTGTAGACAGGCACAGTGCAAACCTTGACAGCAGTAAGAAATCTCGCAAATGCAAAGAGACAACATTCCGGTACGCAAACTGCAAGATCCCTCTGTGTTTGGGTGGACCAAACTTGCTTGGCAGATTCTCACACCATGGCAAATTATGTTCCATAGCAAGGTCAGTCATCAATTTGATCAGTAACAAAAGTCTGTTATATTTCAAACTAACTCAGATTGTTCTTCTGTTGTTCAAGCCTTGTTTTGTGCTTGAAAAGGTACAAAATAAGTAACACAAGTCTATTTTTAAAAAGATGTTTTTCTAATTTTTGACATATTTGCAAAAAAAATCATTTCTGTTGTATGTTTTATTGCCCTTTTGCATGCCAAGTTTCATTGGTAGCCTATTCATTGGTAGCCTATTCATTGGTAGCCTATTCATTGGTAGCCTATTCATTGGTAGCCTATTCATTGGTAGCCTATGTGGTGAACAATAAGGTCACTTTGAAATAGATGCCAAAATACACAGCATTCTTAAAACTTTGGATGGTAAACAAAAAGTGCGCAGCAGCAAGTTAGTTAAGAGGCTAAAATGTTCGTACTGGCCACTTACCTGTATTTCCAAGCAGGGCAGTACATAATACCTTTCACCACATGGGCAATCCCCACTGTCCACCAAAATTACCGAATGGCCCACTGGCAAGCGATATCTTCTAGGTTGGCAAGCACTGAATTAGACACTTGATTGTAATTTTGTTTTTTGTAGAATTCTTAAGGTTTGCAGAGAACTCTTCTAAGTAACGATGAATAATTTATGGCTTTTTTAAATGCATTTTTATGTGAGTTTTCACAGAAAGGAAGTTGTTCTGAAGTTGTCTGTAGAAGTATTTGATGTGTCGTATAATTTCTAATTTCTTTGACTTTTGTTGCATGTCAGTTGTGTTCAGCGGCTTATTTCCATTATTGTGAAGTGTTGAAGGTCCATGTTTCTATGACTGTTTATGCATCGTAGCTTTTGTTAATGCTTACACAAAAGTGTGCTTGGGATATTTTTATGTTTATTTTAGTGCAATTAGTCATTAATTAAGTACTCATGTATTCTACTGCATGACCTCTACAATTCTCCCGGTTTGCTTTTGCTTATAAATGAGACATGCACATTTGAGATGTGGGATATTTTGCTTATACTACAAAATAAATTATCAGCTGTATTGCTGTATATATATACATATATATACAAACTTACATTTTTGTTCTTTTTATGATTAGGTACGTTAGTAATACTCATAACTGTGACACTGGCGATACAGGTTCCAGTCTTTGCATTGGTGCCTTAACAGTAATTTTTGATTCTGTAGTTTTAAGGCACTCCCAATCATACTGCAGAATTGTTTTCTTCACAAGGTTTCTACTGGTCTCTCTCTTCTTGTGCTGTCATATGACCTTATGCAGTTGTGAGCACCATAAAACACTAATTACCAAACAACATCTCTCTTCTTCTGTTACTGTATTGGGTTTCACTCAAGCTCTGTCTGTTTTGTTTTAGAAAGAAAACAAACTTTTAAAAAATGGCCATGCTGTACTGGTGAGAAAAGCAAGTGCTGAAAAAATGACAGGTAGATGATTAAGAAATAGGACAAACCAGTTGTGCCTTCCAACTGCCCTTCTCAGCATGGAAAGGGCATGCTGTTAGGTCAGCTAACAATATGCTGCTGGCAAAACTGATTTCAGTCCATGCACTGTTGGCTTCAGTAATTAATTATTGTTTTTACAGTTTTTTCAATTCTCTTAAATCAGGTTGCCTTTCGACATTGTAGGTATCCTCATAGAGGAAATGAAATGTTGGCAGAGAGAAGTTCAAGGTCTACTATCATTAAAATTTGGCTACTGACGAGGTCGCTCTGCACAAATCAACAACCAAATACACTATTTGTGACAGGAATACTCTCAATGCTTTATTACACATGACATGTGGTAAAACAGTCATCTGTTGGTTGTTACAACTAGGCACACACAAAAATGAATTCTTTATAGGTCTAACCAAAAATTTGAGTAACGACCGTCAGAAGAAGTTGCTTAATTAAGAAATTAGGACATAGAAAAACTGTTTCCAGCTTCTCAGAACACAATTGGGCTTGTATATATTTTAATCGTGCAAAGATGCTTGTAAAATGCACACACCCGTGGTGATACACAATAATTGTGGGAAAGGTATTTATCACAATTTTTTTCCGATTTGGCTCCATCCTATCGGCGATGAACGTCAAATTATGCCTCTTGAATAACCTTTGTGTTGCAAACGATTTTGCTCAATTGTTTTCTTTGCAAGTTGGAGAATCGGTGGCTTATAACATACTTTGATTTCTGTTTGATTGGTTGTTTGGTTGGTTGCCTGGTTGGTTGGTTAGTTTGGTTTGTGCGGGCGTACGTGTGTGCGCCCTTCTGTTTTCATTTCACCCGCTTCCTGCCATTTCCAGCCTGTGCACGTAATTTCCCCGACCGCCCTGCCCGACTCGGCTGACTATATCTGGCCTAGTGCAACGGGGAAAACTAATCAATAAAGCTATCAAATGAATGGAAATCGAACATCAATAGAGTAAAAAAAAAAGAAAAAGCAGATTATTGTCGATGAATGCTTCGATTCAGTTTCCCCAGAACATCATTATGCATGTGTTTGCCGGAGCGCGACTGATGGCGGACATGTATTTCGATAGTTCATCGATACCGCGGCTACATTCAGTTTGTGGGGTGTCCTGGTAAAATCAGGTGCTCGTCAAAATAACGAAATTGAAGAACCGGACATTTTTCCGCCCCTTGGAGAGTTAGCATCTTTTAAAAATTATTATTATTATTATTATTATTATTATTATTATTATTATTAATAATAATAAGTAGACCTAATTAATTATTTTTTTGCTGAACAGTTTGTCTACCCATTTAACTACACATTTCTGTGTGGATTTTACTGGAAAGCACTGATCAAAGGTACCAGAAAATAATGTTTATTAAAATTTGGTAGTTTCGAGGGGCATTCAAGCATTGGAAGCCAACTAACTTTGGCGACCATTTTCTCGCTAATTTTACCTCCGACACCAGGCGATCCACATGCACCTCCTTCTATGGCAAATTTCTCGTTATCCATTCTGATAAATCGGTATTTATTTTCATCAAAAGCAAGGCAAATGAACAAGATTTGAGATGATACCAACCTATAATTCCATTTACCCAAAATGTGACGAGCGCCTCCTTCCACCGTGTCCCGACACATTTTTTTATATTGACATTTTGGAGTCCTGGCCACGCCCTGTAGGCCTATACATTCTGCGGGCGTGTTTGTTGTTTCTGTGTGTGTGTTTGTTTGTTTGCGTAAATGCACGTCATATATATATATATATATATATATATATATATATATATATATATATACATGTGTGTGTGTGTGTGTGTGTGTGTGTGTGTGTGTGTGTGCGTGCGCGCACTTGCCTGTTTATGTGTTTATAATTTGTATTTATAGTAAATTATAGGTGCGTTGTGGCCTCATCGATCGACAGCGGGTGATTGGCGGGTGCTCTGGTGTGATTTGCTCCTTCTTTCTTATTCATGCAGAACATCTATCGTTCCTGTCCCTCCTCCTTTTTTGTGTTTGTTACTCTCTTGTAGCGGCTCTAATGTTCGGCACTTATTTATGCCTTTATTGTGTTGTAAGTGTCGTAAAACTCATATTAAAACATCGATCGACACAGATCAGACAATTTAGGAAGGGGCTGCTTCGATCCTGCTTGTCAAGGTCAACTTGGGCTGTGAGGAACACAACGCCCTAGCAGACTGAGACAGACGGAGAGAGTAACAAATCAATTCTGCAATAAAACTAGAAGTTTAATATTTGTAAATATCTCTCTCTCTCTCTCTCTCTCTCTCTCTCTCTCTCTCTCTCTCTCTCTCTATCTATCTATCTCTCTCTCTCCCCCTATCTCTCTCTCCCTTTCTCTCGTTCCCTAGTCCCCTTTTCATTATTCCTTTCTTTCCTTCTCTTTTCCCGATTTTCAAGTTCAGAAAAAGGATTTTCGGTGAGACAAAAACTTTTCCTGCACGCGTGCGCGCGTGTTTGTGTGCGCGCGCGCGTGTGTGTGTGGCAGAAGAAAGGAAATAAAGAGAGACAGAGAGTGAGGGGGGAGGGAGAGAACCGACTCAAAATTAATTCCTTCCAAACTGAAAACGTTTAATTAATGTGTCCCACGCGCTCATAATAATGACCGTATACAGGTGCGAGCGCCGAAAAACACATGAAAGAAGTTAAAGCTTGGTAGCAATTTTGAATTTTGTGCATGTGGCGACCGAGTCTACTCTTATCGATTTTGGTCCTCCAAAGGATCTTTAACGTGCGCAACTTGCACGCGGGATATCCAAGATTTTTTGCCTTTATCCGAGAAGGCTAGGGCTTAGATCTTACATATCCTGGGATTAGGGATGTGTCTGAAAGACAGCAGTAAGAAGGAGCTAAGGAGTAGCAGTAGAAAGGATGCAGAAAGAGTCAGGAGCCCAGAGAAGGGGGAGGGGGAAAAGTGGTGACAACAGATCATGGTTAGAGAGCAGGAAATGAGAACATTTCAGAGAAGAAGATTGTCCAACGCTGGCAGGTTTCGAACCCGGGTCCTATTGCCTGAGGGGCAAACACCGTAATCTCTAGGCCACGAGAGCCCCTCCCCCCTCCCTCCCTCCCACTCTCTCTCCCTCCCTCCCACTCTCTCTCTCTCTCTCTCTCTCTCTCTCTCTCTCTCTCTCTCTCTCTCTCTCTCTCTCTCTCTCTCTCAGTCACTCACTCACATGCATACCGACAGACGGACAGACAGACAGCTTCCTTGATGTTCCTATCGTCCCCAACTACAAAACTCGCCCAAGTGTTTTGGAAAGTAAGAATGGGGCCAACCTAATTCAATAGAAAAAAAAAACAGTGGACTGTTTCGGGCAGTTACTCATTTAATGTTGCAATAACGATAGAATAATTAATCCTTATGAAGTGGTCCGAATATTTCTACTGGATGATGTGATAATTGCGCTCTGTGAATTTTGAGACCAGAAGAGTAATGACACTTTTAAATATCTTCTCCACTCTCTCTCTCTCTCTCTCTCTCTCTCTCTCTCTCTCTCTCTCTCTCTCTCCCTCTCTCTCTCTCTCTCAAGTCTTTCTCTCTCTTTACATGGCGCCCACGCTAAGATGTACACAATTTACAGGTTACTCACAAATATAATATATCTTCTATATTTCCTGGCTACAACATTTACAGCCTTGGGGTATCGTGATCAAGATGTGTACGGTGTTCGTCTCTCATTCAATATGTCCCGGGTTTGAGACCTGATAGGGACGGAAATTCTCTGAGCTCCTGGCTCTTTCTACTGTTACTCCTTGGTTCCTTCTCCCTGCTGCCTTTCAGCCACACCCGTGATCTTAGAGTAGGTAAGACCTAACATATAACCTTCTCGGAGAAGGGTGAAAAATCCCGGAGGTCCGGTGCGCAAGTTGCGCGCGTTAAAGATTCCCTTGTTGGTCCTAAAATCTATAGGAGCACTAGCAGGCTTCGGCCGCCGCCAGGCAATATTCAAAATTAACTACTATCAAACTGTTTAGTGTATGTCCCGTGCGCTCATAATAAATTACATGCAGTTGCGGGCACCGTAAAACACTTATCAAAGCAAAACAATAACCGCTAACTTTCGAAACACCAAAAAGTGAAAAATGCCAATCATCCAACGCGATAATTAATTATTATGAATGAAAAAAAAGCAGAAAAGAAATGTAGATGGTTGGCGGTTGGTCTGGTGTGGTTTGCTTCTTTTGTGTTTGTTACTTTCTTGTAACACCTATAATCTTCGGCACTCATATGACCCAATTGCGTTGCAAGTGCCCCAAAATGGTTTCTAAAACAGGAGAAAAGAAATAAGCCTAACGATCGCTACTCCAGAGAGTAAATCAAGAACCACGACGAGAATTCGATCAGATATCGACTCTCGGTTGGACTGTAATATGGCCCGGTTTTGTATTCTTTCCTTTTTTTCTGTCAGCTAAGTTGCAGGAATTAACGATGGGGAGGCGAGATCGCGCCAGCGTGAGCGATGGCCAAGACTTGGGTGAGCGCGCGAGAACAGCACACCGCGAGGTACCTGCGGCGAGCATTATTTTTAAGACTAGGTTTCTTCAAACGTGCTTCGATGCCATATTTCTCCAAAGATCCTATCAATAGTATAGTGGTATCTTTGATTTCTTAAACTCATTTGCAGAGCGTGGGATTTCTTCAATATAGGACCTATAGACTTTATAAAAAGCGGTAGCTTGTATCGGCTTCAAAGTGTGGTAACAGTAGTCGTCTGCGAACCGTGAACGAAATCTGCTGGCACCTTCGGAGTTTCCCAGCAAGACTCAGATGCTATCTACGGGCCTCTTAGCGATGTATCTATGGGCGTAATATAATAAATATTGGAACAGAATCCATTGGTGGCCTACACATCGAGTTCTCTCTGATACTTAACGCTTGCATGGTTCCTAATGGCTTGTGGCCGATATAGCTTAAATCACATGTGTATGGAATCTCTTTGAACTTCTGGTTTTATCCCAAATAACTGTGGGAATCATCACAACCAGATGTTTTATCTCTTCTTAATTCTGATTGATCGTTTTTTATTGATTGGACGTCTCTACCTGTAGGTGATTACTTTGTGTTTCCATAATGGACTTTTCAATATGAAGATGATCGTTGCATTTCCATAATGGACTTTTATGAATATTATCATAATACCGTGTTTCCGTAATTCAGACGTCATTACCTTTTTATGTCAATAACATTGTAATGTTGTTTCACGTGAGAAAATGGAGAAATATCAAGTGTGTTTAAATCCCCCCTTTCCTCACAAGGTAATCCTCATACGACGATGACAACCTTTAATATAAAACAGGGTTACGCTAACTGCTATTTATCGATTTGCTTATTCATTTATTTACTTATTTATTTATCTATTTATTTATTTATTTATTCATTTATTTATACATTTGGGGGTTGGGATGGGGTGTAACTTTTACGCCACAACTGGTAGAGCCAACAGTTTGTTTGTGCCGCCACTGGGGATGAATAGATCACATTTTTTATCCTCTTCGTGGAACGTTGTGATTTGAATCCTAATGCGGACTAATTTGAAAAGGGGGAGCAATAGAAGAATGGGTGAAAGGGGG